TGTGTGTGTGTGTGTGTGTGTGTCACGACTCTTCATCTTAGGCTCCCTTCAGCAGTTTGCTGCTCTGACTCATTCCGTCTTGCCCGGCAGCGAGCTCAGGGGATTGTGGGAAATGAAGTCTGTGGGCAAGGAGAGATGTGATTTAGTTCAGTGGGAGGACAACACACGCCGGGAGGCTGCAGAAACTCCCCCTCTCTTCTCTCTTTTCTCTCTTCCCCGTGTGAAGCTCTGACCCGTTCGTCTGCAGTTTGACTGTAGACTGAGACACGCGTGCACAGATCCCACTCACTTCACATACATGTTCTCCACTGTACTGAGCATTGCACTAATCATCAAGTGATGCCATAATGAGGAACCCTGCAGGTGAGTGGCAGCTGCAGGAAGAAGGAACCATGGCAACTCGGGAGGGGATGTGATAAAGAGCAGCTCTCCTTGATGATGGATGACATTTTCCATCAAGACTGAAGCGGAGAGAGTTCTACAGGTGCAGCGTTGTGTTGTTATAGCTCCACACTGAAAACACTCAGTGCAGCAGTGTGCATGTAAGCCGACATCAGAGTCAAGCCAATAAAATAAATAATATCCTCGACCTTTGACCTTTCACCACCAAAATCTATTCAGTTCATCCATGAGCTGAATTGAACATTTGTACCCAATTTGAAAGAATTCCCTCGAGGAGTTCTTGACATATCATGTTCACTTTTCATTGTATCAGTAATGTTTGGAAAGGTCTTAAATGTAAATTATTCACAGAATTAAAAATTGACTCCGTTACATTTCAACACATTTTAAATAAAAGCTTCTCTGCCAACGTCTAATTTTCAAATACCAGCCACAAACTGTAACCAAGAGTCTCCCTGCTCTTATATTCCTTGGGGGGGTGGTTTCACTGTACAGGCAGTGCACTCTGGGAGAGCTGTTTCCACATCTGTCGTTAAGAAGCTGTGTGATTTATGTCTGCGATCCCACCTCCTCAACACTGAGCTACAAGGCCGAGAGTCGTAAACAGAGACGCCTCACAAAGCTGCACGGGCGTGTGCAGATGGGACTCACACTCACACACACACACACACACTGAGCAGTTTGACCTCATACACTCTCTGATTGCTTGGGATTGATGAGGTGATCAATGACCTGTCGGCTGCTGAAGAGAAAAGTGATTCACAACGTGCTGCTGGGTAACGTTGGAGGACTTGATGAATCAACAAGGACTCTTACAGCTCTCTGGTCCAAACAAACCAAAGGAAATAGTTTTTTTTATCAAAGCTGAGTGTTTGGAAACGTTCCAGGTTTATAGAAGTATCTTGGCTCCGGAGGATTTTATGTAACACCCCCCGCCGTCAGCTCTGTAGCTGAATGTCTTTGTGTTTTTATTTGTCGTCAGTGTGACTCATCCTTGTGTTTCGGGCTGAGCTCTTGGGACCCACCACCTCGACGTCACCGGCTGTGACGCAGCACCTTGACAACAGGTGTGTTGTAAATGATTCATGAGCCGCGGGGGCGTTTACGACTTGATTGGCATTCAATCCCACATCATTCCTTTCTAAATGTGTGTGTGTTGAGAGGAGGTAGGACAGGAGGAAGAAGGAGAGGAGAGGACATGAAAAAGAAGAGGAGAGGACTGAGGAAATGATGGAGAGGAGCAGATGTTGGAGAGGAGAGAAAATGATGTAGAAGAGGAGGGGATGAAACTGAGGCACAAAATGTGTTGAAAACCACATTAAACAAACAAAATATAATGTTTTAATTATTATATTTGTGTCGTTTTTTCTATCCTCCAGTGGTGTGTTTTCATTTCTCACAGCAGCTTGTGGTCTCTTTCAAAAAGGACAAAGTGTCTTCACAAGAACTCAGAGTTTCCAAAGGAGAAGACATCAGAGCAGCTGTCGCACAATCTGAGTGATCTCTGGGAGGATCTGTGAAAAATCCCTTTGAGTTTGAAATGTAATCGTATTCAGGGTATCCCAGATTTATTTGTTTTAGTCTTTCTACCTCATTGCTGTTGTTCTCTGGCGACGAGGTAACGCTGCTGTTACCCCAATCAGCCTCTGACATACTGGCTTTAGAGATTGGCTCCCAGACAACGACCAGTAAATCCTATTAACATTAAAGTCTCCTTCCCACGTCCTTCACCTGAGCACCACAACAACCTCAGTACAATAAATCCCATCGGCACTGATTTCAGATTTTAGTGTAACTTCAACAAAGATCTCTGAAATCTAAAGAGTGAGACCTTCCTGGCAGTGAGACATTTTTAAATCAATATCGGTTTCACTTTTTTGGGTCGTGTTTTACTTGAAATATCTAATATCCCAAAAAATAATTGAGGTTATTTTTGCAACACATATACATGTTGGACTCTTTGTATCTGTGCTGCTGTGTATCTGCAGGAGACAAAGGGACTTATGTAACTCTGACATTGAGCACAGTGTGAATCAGACGTCTTTTGTGCGTCTTCAGGGAGCGACAAAGACTTTAGCTGAGAGGAAAAATGCGTCTCCTCGCTCTGTGAATGAAACATAGACATAAAGAAATCAGCAGAATCTGAGGTTTTCTGTAAATGCTGCATCTATGACACGCTCCTCCTTCAACACGTGGAGGCCTCACGGCTTCTCTGTGCAGCTTTTGGCATTTGTGGCCTCGGTGGTCTAAAACGCAGTTTGACAAGGGATGAATATTTGATTCAAGACCCTTTTTCTGCTTGTTTTGTGTTGTTG